GTCTCCAAAGCATATGAGCTCCAAGGTCCCATTTTGGAAGTTTGTTCATTGTGATGGTAAGGTTCCATCCACAGCAGCCACTCACTTGTCCTCCTTTGTTTGGGTGAGGATCATATCACTGAAGCCTGTCCTCAATGGCAGGCTTTCACCAAAAAGGTCAAGTGGAACAGGTTGAACAGGTTGAAGGCTCTCTTGCGGAAGAGAGCACTGGAGGCAGTGGAACTTCCTTGCCCTTTCAGTGAAGCTTCCTCAACAATTGCTGCTGTAAAGGTAAGACCACTGCCTTCTCCTTTGCCAGTGGTTACAGCTCTAGCCACAGGCCGAACAGACCTCCACATTTGGTTAATCTCTCATTGTTTTGCTGGCAAAAAAAAAAAACATGTTGAAGACAGCTTGACCAGCAATTTTGCTGGACCCCTCAAGAATTAAAAAGGAAGAAGGGCCCTCAAAATTCAAAAGAGCCATAGAGTGGCTCTCTCAACCACCTCCACCATCTTCAGCTTGACTAGTGCTCATACCACCACTCCTTGCCTCTGTGATACTGGCTACTTTGGAAGATGAAACAAGAGAGCCCTTCCTTGAGCTTGAGAAGGTTAAGGCCTCTGTATGTTGCCCAGCTTTATCCATATAGAGCAATCAGCCTCCCAGATTATTTCAATACCAACAAATATAATGTGATCTCCGCTGATACTGTAAATGATCACACACACACACTGCTTTCAGTCTGGATTAGGCTTTCTGAATTTATTTATTTATTAGATTTATAGCTCGCTTTTCTTACAATAAGGGGTCTGTGCCCCCTCACAGGTCATATAGCTGGGATGAGATGAGACCAGATTCTTCACTTAATACATAACAAGTGTTTTCAGCATGGTTGTACAAGACCGCCATGAGCTAGTCTCTCTCTCCTACGACTTCTTTCCTTTTTTTCCCAGCAGATCAAGACTGAGAGGCTTCTAACTATTGCCCATTGTTGTGTTAAAGTTGGCCAGCCAGGAGCAGGGTTGTGCTACAAAGTAAATGATATAGAGGGTTGTTAGCAAGAAATATCTATTCCATTAAGGAGCTCTATAATTATGGTTTTAGTTTTGCCCATGCCAGAAGTTGATGCCAAACAATCTCCTCTCCACCCTTCCCCACCAAATGGAGTTTTCTTCACCCCCAAGGAGGTTTGCTCTGCTTGTGGGCCAGATAGTGGGAACAGCAGGTGTTACTTAATTGACCCACTTTGATCTGATATTGAACCACTGGACAGATTAAGTTGCACCCCTCTCCCTCTGATCCTACTTGTTCCACAGTGTCTCCCCCAAACCAGAGGTAGTCTGGTTCTTACTAGCCACTTGGCTTATCTCGTAATGCATTGTCCTTGGCATTTCAGCTAAGCATTCCAACCCTACCTCTTATTCTAGTTAAGATTCAGAGTCTGAAGTATCCACCTTGGAATGCTGCATTTTGGGACAAGTGGGTCCCATCCTTACAAAGATTCTGTTACATTCCTTGGGATTCTGTTAGTCAGCCTCTGGATGTAGACTTTTTTCTCCAGCTGGCATCTCATTCCCCAAGACAGGAGACTGCTAGGGGGGATCATGCATGCACCAATAAGGGACAGTAATTCCTTTATTCTACAGATGTCAGTATCAGCATTGGCTCTGAGCCTAGATATGAAAGTGAAAACCAGTGAGTCCCCATCCTCAACAGGAGAGGCCTATTGGTCATAGTCAGCATTTTACTCCTCAACTATTCTGTCAATCCCTTTTCCAGACAAGATTATTGGGAAAAAGGACTCCATTTAACCCTTAGACTTTGGGCCTTGAGATCTAACAGTTGGTACCAAGATTAGAGAATCCTGTCTTCAGTGTAGTGTTGGAATCCTTAAATCCAACTGCAATTCCCTTTTTGCCTGCACTACTTCAGATAGTGCAATAATAAAGCACTGACTTTTATGACACCAGTGTCTAAAAGATTAGAGCACATGTACAAAGAGCAGGCGACAAATACAGAATTTATATTCACCCACCCTCCACCTAATTTCATGATTGAAGAGTCTTCTCAGGGCTGGTCACATAGACCCCATTCAGGTCCCTGGCATATTCATCAGCAATGCTTGGTCGTAAGGTCACTAACTACCAGGTGGTCATGATGTGGGTTTATCTCAGAGGAAAATATATATTCTTTATGAGATTAGCTTTCCAATGGCCAGGGAGAGTTGGCTAGGGTATTCCAATCCAAAGTGCTACAACTGGTCAAAACAACACATTGAGTTGCTTATGATGCCAAGGTCATACTGGGAACTATAGTGCTGCAATGCCAGGCACAGTGATTCCATGGCATTATCACAGGAAGCTCATTGAAGGATTGAGGACTTTCCCTTGATGGCAATGACTTATTCAGTTCAAAAACTGATGTCAAGCCATGGCAAAAACTACTGCGAGAAAGATGGGTTTGAATCAGCCCCCAGCCTTCCTATTGATATTGGGCTTCCAACCCCAGCAGCAGGATGATCAATTTGACAGACCTGAGCAACCATCTACATTGAAAAGGCAGCATTTACCATCCAGGTTCTATCAAAACTATAAGAGAGGGGACCTTTCCTCTTTTTCTTTGTCCTTCTGCTTGTCATCCCATCTTTGGATCTAGACTGTAAGCTTTCCTTCTAGTGTGGGCCATAGTAAGACTCCTGGGTGCTTTCTATAATTCAGTGGGGCGGCTGGATTTAATCTGATGCCCTTCCTCCTGTTTGAGATATTTGTTCAACAGTAACTTATGTTCTATAAACAGAGATTGACTCCTTACTATGAAAAGGAGCTATCTGTCATGTTCCCACTTTTCATCACTACAGCAGTTTCTATTCCTGTATTTAATAGTCCTGAAAAAGAAGGACTCTGACCAGTCCTGGACTTTCATCAGGCTAGTACTTTATTACTACCAGGAAATTAAGGGTGATGACTCAGTCAGCAGCCTTACCACTTTTACATGTAGGACTGTGGTTTCCTTCAATTGACACATATTTTTAACATTGTGACTGATGAATTTTATCAATGTTTCCTCTACTTTTCATTCGGATTGGAGATCTACTATTTCTGAGTCCTTTTGTTTGGTCTGGTGACAGTTCCAAGAGTATTTACAAAGTGTGTTGCAGTTGTTTGCATGTTCCTCCACACCTGAGGCATATAAGTCTACTTATATCTCAAAGATTCGTTGCTGGCTGGGCAGTCAAAAATGGATCTACTTTGTGCTATTGCATTCATTATAGATCTTTTGCAAGCTCACAGCCTGTACCTGGAGAGGTAATGTCTGAGCCCTACTGAAATTATTTAATTTATCAGAGCCACCCTGCTCTTGGTGTCAGGTCAGGCTTATCACCAGAACACCTGCTTGCTTTGCGAAATCTGGCACATTACATGTGGTCCAGGATTCATGTACTAGTTTTAACCATCCTACTTCTTCTGGGTTTGATGACCACAACTGTGGCAGAAGTTCCACATGCATGTCTCAAAATAAGAATTCTTCAGACTTAGTTTTTCAGGGAAGTGGATCCTGATGCAAACTTCCACTGAACCTGGTTGCATATTCTAAAGATATTTCTCACATCCCTTTGGTGATGGATGAACTCAAAACTCCGTGAAGGAATTCCCTTCCAACAATTGTTCCCAGGTTGAGCAGTCAGGACAGGTGCCTCTCTTCTGGGATGGAGAACACATTGCAATACATTAACAATTCCAGGACTTGGGTCTTAAATCTAGAAGTGTTACCATATCAATGTGCATGAATTGCTAGTAGTTTGAAAAACCCTGCATGCCTGCAAGATGGAGCTCATTCACCACCACATCCAGATAATCATGGGCAACACAACAGTAGTCTGGAAGCTGCCCTAAAGCAGGCTTGCGCAGATGGTGCCCTCCAGATGTGTTGGCCTGCAAGTCCTGGAACTTGACTGTACTGGTTGGAAAATGCTAGAAGTTCCAGATTGTTTCTGTCCAAACCTGCATAGGATTGTACCTTAAGGGGCAATTTGACAGCTGTCTTCAAATGAGAAGGGCTTCCACATAGCTAATAGAGCAGATGTGTCTTCTGTTGCTTTAGAGGTAGGACCCAAACCTGTGGGTTCAAATTAAAGTAATTTAGGCAAAATTTTAGGAAAAGCTTCTTGATGGGGTGAGCTTTTGACAGTAGAAAAGACATTGTGGACAGTAATGGCTTTGTCATTAGAGTGTTTAAACAAAGTCTGTATGATCATCTGCCAAGGATGCTGTAGCTGTGGGATTTCTGCATTAGTGGGTTTTCTGCATTAGTTTCAGGTTGTCCTTGACTGCTGAGGCCTTTTTCAACTCTAATTTTAGTGGAGCTTCCAGTTTATGATATCCTTGTCTTGTTTCATTCATGACATTTAACACGGGGTTTAGACACTAACATCTTCCACATGTTTTCCTATGGAATAGGTACTATGAAGTATAAAAATCTCTCTCCCTAGACTCTAGAGAATTGCTTAGGAGGAAGGAAAGGGAGAAAAAACACTTCTAACCTTTACTGCTCTTCAGACCTCCGCTGCTACTACATACCTGTAGAATAGAATAATCAGGTTTAAAGCTCATTGACAAACCAGAAGGGGAGGGGGCCCTCTTTCCCTTTGCTGAAGGTACTCCTGCCCTGAAAGGCCAGAAAAGCCAATCAGGTTCCTGTCCAGGCTGAGCACATTACTTAGGTGGTTGGGATACAGGGCAACATGATACAGCAGATCCCCACTTCAATCTTTTAATCCCCATCCATCAGTGAAAAAATAGAAGATGCTGGCAAATCCTGATAGGACAAGAAGCAACTTCAGAGACCCTCATTCTGGCAGAAGGTCCTATAGGAGTGCTGAACAAGGATTTCCGAGCTGGAGGCCCAGAACATAACATTTTCAAAAGCAAGTAGGATTTGCATATAATAGGTACACTACTTTGTAGATGCCTTCAACACACATTCTTTTTCTTTCTCCTTGTGCCATTTGTTCACTTCAGCAGAGTTCCACTAACCACCACGAAAGCAGTAAAGAAACCTCAGAGGTCGTCCGGTCAGAGGTGAAAGGGAAGAAGTCTTCAAGCCATGGCACAAGCCACAAGGCCAAGAAGTCCGGAAGTGGAAAAAGCTCAACGAGTTTTGGCTCATCCTCTTCCAGTGGGACATTCCCACCTGCAGGTAAAAGTTAGGAGGGAAATGGAAGAACTGATAGACTCAGAATGACAGTGGAACACACTGAGGCAATCAGCCAGTGTCACCACATTTTTGTCATCTAACCCTGCTTTAGAACAGCTAAGTCTCTAGACCTCATTGAACAGCAAAGCTCTGAGTAGTGTTTATGTCTTTAGTGAATTACTAGTCCTTAACACTGTCAAGGAAGGCTTCAACATGTATGAGCAATCTCAACTGAATTTCCAATTGTTGAGGAGTGGATAGGGTGAAGTTGGTTAGTGGCCTGCATTGCTCATTACCACCAACCCTATAACTAGCAGAGCCTGGACAGACTATGCAAGATAAGCAAATCTTTGCAATTCTGCATCATGTGTAGATACTGAATAATTCAGCTTGTGTAATGGCAGGTAATATTGGAGGGATATTTTATTAACAGAGTGTGTATATCTATACCTGTGTTTATCCATTCTATTTGGTCTGAAGTGCTTTGGTTGAGAATAGCATATTGTGGGCCAGGAAACCCCACTCCTCACCACTTCTATCATCTTCCCCAGTGGCGTTAGACAAGCTGCTATTCTTTCTGCCTCAGCCTCCCATCTGTAAAATGGAGATAATAAGTGATAGTACCTGTGTAGTCCTTTTAGAACTTAAAAAAAGCCTTACATAAATGCTGAGAGTTTTGTCATCCTGAAGAGTAACAGGGAATTATCAAAGTGAGTGCATATGATGACACATAAAACATCAGTTGGGATTGAGGCAAAGAATTAATCAAGTAAGTCAGTTTCCAGGCTAAAGCTAGATGTTACCCTTTTTTGAGTACAATCTTTGTCAATTGATCAGGGTTTCCATCTTTCAGTAGATAGGAAGTTGGCTTTTAATTGGCTAGGAAGTAGTCAATAGATAGGAAGTTGCTGTCATCTCTGACATTGCCTTGCATAATTTTAAGTATTTTTAAAATAAGCAAGCAAGCAAGCAGTCTTAAATCTATGACAGATCTGGCTCTGATGCCTTCTTCATGCCTGCGTTAGGTTTCAGGATTTCCCTTCATCCCCTTTCAGGTACCTCATGCAGCTCCTTGCCCTTCTCCCAGGACTTTGTAACCTTCCCAAAGCTTGAGCAACTGCCGCCTGAGGAAGAGAAATACCGCAAGCCCGTCTCTTCATCCTCCTCCTCTGCACACTGCTCCCCACTGTATGAAGGGCAGAAGAGTGACGTCTTTGAGCAGAAGGTGATCTTTTCAGGCTTTGGCTCCATCATGCGTTTCTCCACCTCAGCTGTCAGCCAACAGAGGGGTCGTGACACTTCCCCAGTAGACTACAAGGCCTCAAACTCAAGTGGTGGCCCCCCCGCAGGGAGTGGCAGTGGCAGTGGAAGCAGCCACAAGCGGATGCCATCTCTCAGCATGGAGGAAGGAGAGGTCCTGAAGGAAAAAAAGCACAAGGCCAGTAAGAAAAGCAAACATGGGCCAGGGAGGCCCAAAGGCAGCAAGAACAAGGAAGTCCTGGGTGCCCAACTGGTTGGGTCCACAGTCACCTCCTCTTCGCCTTTCTCTGGGGGGTCCCTGGTCAGCTCCAGCATTGGTGGCTCCTCCCGGACTTTCAGCCATGCTGCAACTCTTCCAAGCCTCAGTATGGAGTCCCCACTCCTGGGGTCAGGTAAGTACCATTTTCACATGGCTTTTAGTTAGTATCTGATGCAGCATCAGTAACTGGAGAGTCTGTGTTTTCTTTTTCTTTTTTAAGCAATGGGTTGCGTAGGGTTGGATCCAGGCTTAGTTGCATTTCACTCCCATTGAAATTGGCAGGTTGTCTTCACGCAGCACAGAACTAAAGTATCAAAATCACTTCCAAAAGATGCAGTGATGCCTACCAGCTCAGGTGGCCTTGTTGTTGTTGTTAGTCATGAAATCGTGTCCAACCCATCGCGACCCCATGGACAACCGTCCTCCAGGCCTTCCTGTCCTCCACCATCCCCTGGAGTCTGCTTAAGCTCACACTGACTGCTTCAGTGACTCCATCTAGCTACCTCATTCTCAGGTGGCCTTAAAAGGAGACAAATTTATGGAAGAGAAGGCTGCTAATAGCTACCAGTCCTGATGCCACTATGCCGCAGTATCAGGGACAGGATGCCTCTGCACACAAGTTGTTGGTAACATGGGCAGAAGGATGCTGTTGTACTCATGTCCTGCTTGTGCACTTCTGTGGGTAGCTGGTTGACCACTGGGTGAACAGGATGTAGAAAAAATGGCCCTTAGTCTGATCCCTTAGTCTTCTTAGGATCTTAGGACTTAACTCATATCCATTTGTATCTTGTTCATCTCAGAGGCAATGAAGTTCAATTAAGTCTGGCATCAACATGTACTTGTGTTTTTCAGTGGTTTTAGTGGGTTCTTCACCGTAGTGTGGACCTGACTTTGCAAGTCTGGATACAAGCATACATATTGCATTGGCAAGTTGAACCCTCTGTCTTGCATCTGCCCTTGTGTATCCAGTGAGCGATACAATTGCTTTGACTGGCAAGTGTGCATCTCTCTCTCTCCTCTTTTCATGGACTTGGTGAGAGTAGGCATAGAATCATGGAATAGTAGAAATGCAAGGGACCAGAGGGTCTAATTCCATGCTCAGGGCAAGACACCAAGTTAAACCATCCCTCTCAGATGGCTGTCCAGTTGAATCTTGAATGCCTCTAGTGTGGAAGAGCACACAACCTCCCTAGGCCATTGACTCCATTGTCATACTCCATGTTGATGACAATACGGATATTAGCAAATAGGCACCCATCACAGCCAAAATCAGTCAGTGTCTCAGGGGAGCCAGTTCCACCTGAAACTGTGACAAAAACTTGAAGGAAGCATCTCAGTTTGTTTCCTCCCCCGCAGTTTTAAGCAAATTGGTTCCACAACTTCTAATTCTGTCTGCCTTTGCCCAGAGATTCCCCACCAAATCATTGTTAGCTAAGGCATACCTACAGACATGTGGATAGTAGCTGGAGAAATCTCAGCATCACTTTCTGTGTTTTTTGTGGCACAGTAATCCTGATTGTGCGCTTACAACAGAAATCACACAAATCAGCAAACCACATTGTGTCTTCTTTTCCTCTTCAAGGAACAATGAGCAGATGCTAACTTTTGCTGCCAGCCTCAAAAGCCAGAATGACCCTGAATTGGATTTCCGAGTGCTCAGAAATTGTAACTTCTGAGCCATTTATACATCCCTGTCCCTCAGTTAACAGAAGTAGGATCTAGTTGGTATCACTAGTGAAAAATGGCCTAGAGATGAGTGTGCTCTGGTGTAAGGAGTTTTCTTTTTCTTTAAACCAGGTTGAAATTATCTTTATCTATCTTTGAGTCCTTCACTGCTACTCATTTATATTTTCCGACAGTAGCTAGGCTGGCTATTGCTCACTTTTCGATTGTTCACATTTATTCTGGACTGCTTGGCTCCATGCCTCTTCACTTAGTGTGGAATAAGAGGCTTGCTAGACATGCAGCATGAAGGGCTGAAGACATGGCTGATGATACCTAAATCAGGAGCAATACCATTTCCATCTGTCAGGGGTGGGAAACTTGTGGCCTTCCAGAGGCTTTGGATTTCAGCTCCCATCAGCTCTACCAACATGACAAATGGTCAGGGATGATCAGAGTTGTAGTCCAGCAATATATTGCGGTCCAAAGCTTTCCCACCCTTGTCTAGCACAGTTCTCAAAAAGGTCATTTAGAGGGAGCACAAGGAATGGGCAGAGTGGGTGTGGAGGACTGTCTCCAGGCAGAAAGAGTGCAGGTTTCCCAAACACAGACGGTTGCCTTTTCCCTCTTGGCTTTCATTTGCCACCTTTCTTGCCTGCAGCTCCAAAAGAAGCTAACAAGAAGCCAGACAGTTGTGCAGTGTGTGGAATAGTATTACAGAAAGCAACTAACTATACGCTAATTTGCATCATCCTCAAGATTCAATCCCCAAGAGGTCAATTGCCTTGGCACAAGTGTCAAGGCCGGCAACTGAGCTTTGGGCCAAAGTAGACATTATATTAAGCATGTTGTTTAATGCTCCATGATTGATTTTTAATCTTTGGATCAAAGCCATGGGGGTGGGGACAGTGGTGATCAGGATCAGTGGAGATTTCTTTTCATGCTTTCTGTTGTGCTGTGATCCCACGAAAAATTCTGCCCTTACCCTGGGGTATTTGTCACAGGAGGAGAACACCAATTGCCCCTTTCCATATCAAATTGCAGTGGGAAACAGTGATGTTTATCATGGCAAAAGCATGGAAGGAAAGAGTTAACCCCCCATATGGTGACCATGCTGGCTGGGGATGATGAGAGTTGTAGCCCAACACATCTGGAAAGTACAAGGTTGTGGAAGGCTGAGCGATGCCAAATTATGTGTGGCTTCATGCTTGAATCACAAAGTTGTTTTGCTTTGCAAACAAATACATTTGTTGTCCATTAGCCATTGTTCATAATATACTGGATTGAAACTTTCCAAGATAATCTTCACTCACATAGTGCTTTTATGTATTGTTTTGCATGTTTTATAAATGAAAGGAGCTTTTGAAGAAAGATAGTTGAGTGTTTCCAAGAGCCAAGATGGGCTTGCCCATGACCACATCTTGCACTTTCTTTGCACTACACTAGATTGCCAGCTCTAGAGCTCTGTTTACAGGCTGCGTAGAAATGTCAGAAGTAAGCCCCTTTGAGTTTCATTGGGACTTGCATTCAGGCAAGCATATGTAGGGGGAATGATGGGAGTTGTAACTCAACACTTCTGGAGGTCACTGGGTCAGGGAAGGCCAATGTATATATTTGACTTGATAGAAACGTTTCCTAAGCAACCATTTGTCTGTATGGCAAAACAGTCTTGTAAACATCCAGCATAGGCTGACATTTCAGGACATGTATTAACTTGGCTCTGAGCACAGATTCCCTGCTACATGTCGAAGGCACAACATTCACAAAGCGCGTTAGAAACACAGCAGGTGGGACTCTCAAAATTGCCAGAATGCTTTACTGGAAAAGGCAGTTGCCAAGGAACAGTACTTGCAAGAAAGGGTTAAGGGGAAGGAAGCGAGAGGCAGGGCATGCCACGGCTGATTTGCTTGGCAGCAGTTGCTTTGGCCCATATCTCTGCTGGCTTGTTTGCAGATGCTTCTATTCAGGTCACAGTGGATAGATAAGGCGGGAGGGACAGGCTGCCAAGGGAGTGTGTGGGAGGAGGAGGTGTAGTTCAGCATCATTTGGTTCCCTGGTGATGGGGCCTTTTACTCTCGCCCCTTCGGGGCAGGGGAGGAGCCAGGGAAGAGAAGGAGAGAGAATCCAAGATGTAATTATTTTCCAGGGAGGAGCTGTTACCAACAGCAGACCTGCCATAATCACAACCTCAGGCAATGCATTTCTTCTTCTACTTTTCCCTCTTTCTTTTGTGTTCATGGGTTCAGAGAGAGAGAGAGAGAGACAGAGCTTCAGCCAGCGAGCTAGTCAGCGAGCCAGCGAGCAAGCTAGCGAGCGCAGATTTTTCCCCGTGCTCCTAGCAATAACTCACAATCCAGGCCTTAAGAGGGGTGGGTTTTTTTCACACAATATTACACAGGCCTCCAAGTGGAGGAGCTGCAGCCAAGTCCAGCTCCCTGATAAGTGAACTTGTACGTTATTAGGTGTGTCTGCCAAGGGCTGCTTGTTGCATTCTCACATTATGTTTTAGGTGGACCCCAGAGCAACACCTACAAATGTAGAGTGCCAAGAGCCACTTAAGAGGAAATGAGAATACCAACAGAAAGCCACCCACCTCCAAATTTAGTTCTTCTCTTCATCTTTCTCAATGTTCTGTCTCCTGAACTGCTTGCCATCTGGGTGGGTGGAAGGGCTGTTTTGAAATCCCTGAATACCAGTAGAAAAGTAGGTGTAGTGAGAGAGGTAAGAGGAGTTCTTTCTCAATTTCACAAAAGCAGGACATTGCAGGGGCTGTGAGTGGTTAGCAGTCCTTTTTAAAAAATGCACCCCAAACGTGCACAAATAGTTTTGTTGATTTATTTTTTATTTTTTAAACATAGCTGTATGCATTTCATGTGCAAAAATGGATAATGTCCTGGGGGTGGAGGGACCTGCTGTCAGAACACAGAAGGGACCAATTATGGACCTTGACCCCCAGTATGAGGTCTGTCTGTCTGTTGCATTTTGCTTAGACTTTTCTAGTTTTGTTTTGCTTTGTCAAAAGGCCGGCTGTCAGTTGGAGTGGTCTTTGCTTTCAAAAAGGAAATGGAGGGATTTATCCCCGCTTAGCACTGGGATCCTCAGAGTTTTTCATGTTTCCCCAACTTTTCCATCTATTTCTGAAGACGAGGGGTTTGGGAGGATGGAAAAATCCAGCCCTCTGCTCTTTATTGGAGCTCAGAGTGTTGATGGCTAGCTGCCAAGCCTCTGGTTCCTTTTAATATATTTTTTGGACATGGCTCCCAATATATATTTTTTCCTGCAGGGACTTATGCATTTATGCCAGCATGTGTTGTCCCATTGTCATCTCTTATTTATTATATGAACTTTAATATTATTATAATACTAAAGTGAAGAATCATTAGAGTTCATATAGTGCTTTTGAGCACTACAACATGTTACATTTATTATCTTGTCATCCTCTCAACAATCCTGTAACTAGATCAGTATTATTATTCCCATACTGCAGAGTGGGTAGGGGTGTATGCTGAGGCAAAGAAAGAGTGGCTTGCCGATATTCAGTGTGTAGTCTTCTGTCTGGACTGGAAAGTTTCCAGCTTCATAATTCACCCTCTCTTAACCACTAAACTGTTCCAGCACTCCTTATTTATGAATTATAAATGGACAGATATGGACGTGTGGGTTTATATAATTGTTAGTCTTCCAGATGATCACTTTAGAGTGTGCTTAGGCTGAATCGCTTGGACTCTAGCTCCCCATCTGTAGGGAAGAGATTTGTGCCAGGCCATGTTTATTCAGACTAACTAAGCAGTTAGTATGCTTAAGATTGCCTCGTTAATAGTAAGGTACAGGACCTGAAAAACTGAACCCCATAACCCTGAAATTCAACTAAAATCTCAGAGTAAAATCTAGGGACTAGGTGCTGGGTTGGGTCTTGGGAGTGGTGTGTGTGTGTGTGTGTGTGTGTGTGTGTGTGTGTGTGAG